TTTAAAAATAGATCTTTGCAGAATTTTCAAACATGGCAATTCACAAGTTTATCATTTCGCAAACAACAGCGTAATGGCTTAAATGGAACCGCTAAAAGTTTGAACTGTTTCCTTACTTGAGAAGAAAAGTAGAGCTTTGTTGTTTTCTGTTGACTCGCCAAGTTTATAGCCAAAAGGGTTTGTTGTGTCGTTCTTCGCATGAAGTGCAGACGAAAATGGCGGCTCCGTTGCTCGAGGTAAGACGTCGTCTTCCTATTTCATTCTTTTTTCTGCTTACTTGCAACGTAGAATTTCTGCAAACATTTCCTTTTAAATTTTTTTGTCATAAATAAACTTCGATTTTTGAGCCAAAATTTTCTTGTTAGAAAACGCTGAGTTCACGAAACGGCTTATTCTACGCGAATACACGGGAGTTGTAAACAATCCATTAAGCACAAAACTCAGCTTCAGTACATTGAAAAACGCCGTATTGAATCCTTCCAAGTCTTTTCTTGCCTTAAAAAAGTCAGCCCTAGGATTTTGTCGACTTTTAAAAGATCATTCTCTAAAAAAATGGGAAAAACACCGAGCTCACACGTTATCCATTCTCTAGGAGGTGAATATTGTTGAATAGTCCGAGATAGCGAACCAATCAGATTGCTTAAATCACCAAGATCACTGAGTGTGTACATACTAATACTTATTATACTAGGAGTCAGGAGTAATAGGAGCTTAGGAGAGTGCGTTCTATATGTTTGCTAGGCGTACAGGTAGAAGTTGAGCGGAAAGGGTGGATGGTTCTTGCGATAGATAACTATGATTGAGGCATATTTGGAACGTAAGGGTGGCGTACAGCGAAACCTCGATTTAAACTGTATATCATAATGAAAAGGTTTTGAAGACTAGTGATCAGCGTGATATCGTATGGTTCGTCTCGAGTGCTTGTTATTTGAGGAGACACTGGCCAGAGTGCTTCGGGCTTGTAAAAAGAACTTTTTGTTTTACTGGCGCAATAGATGTTCTACTGGGCGCAGTTGTTCGAAAGCCGATCAGCGGTTAACCCGGGTTTCTTTTTCTTTTGTTAAAAAACATTTCTTTGGATAATTTTTTCAGTTATGTTTAAGAGCGTCCAATCATCAACTTGTTGGCAAAATGAAGCTTTCACATTTGAGTTCAAATTTCGCACTAACTCTCCTCGGCGGGGTTATCTTAACCCAGCTTTAAACAACCCGGCACAGGTACTGTTAAAAAGCAAACAGTTGACAAAGTTTTAGATGTAATCATTAATTTTATTTAATATTGGGAATTCCACATGTAGACTTACTGAAATTTACTATAAAATGCCGGAAACCGTTACTGGCAAGTATTCTTAACTTGTGATGATATTTTAAAAGAACGACCCAAGACCACATTTTTGTGGTGAATGCCGGAGTACAATGATTGTGTTTGAACACTGGTTCACGTACCCTACACCTCTCAATTTCACCCGTTTCAAGGGAATCATCAAAGCCTTCAGTAGAATGTGTGTGCGGCTCACGTCAATAACTTTTCCGGTAATTTGGTCGAGTGTATTGATTTCAGTGGCTTTAGTGGCGCTACTGTGGGCTGGTCACGTTTTTCCGATTAAATAACATAAAGCTAAAATGTTCGTTTGTCCAGTGCCGAAACTATCACAAGTCATGATGAAATGGTGCCGCCGAGCTTCACATCTCGGTAGATTTACTTTGTGGAATAACGGCCGCCGAGCTACACAACTCGATACATTTACTCTGTGGCACTACGGCCGCCTAGCTACACAACTCAGTAGATTTACTTTGTGGCACAACAGACGCTGAGCTTCACAACGTGCCGTAATTTTATTATTATTATTATTATTATTATTATTATTATTACTATTATTATTTTTTTTTTTTTTTTTTTATTATTTTTTTTTTTTTTTTTTATTTCGCACACACAAACAATTACAATACATTGCATTTACAATTCGTTACAGGTAACTGTTATCGTTTACAAAAAAGGAATAAAAAGAAAAAGAAGGACAAAGCCCACAAAAATACTATAGTTTATATATTAACAATTAAGAGAAGGCTGCCTGCCTTATGGTCCTCCATCACCCATCTGCCCGTTTGTCACTTGCACTTTAATTAACTGTATTGGTCAAATTATATTCTGAGGAGCATTGTTTGAAAGAAGCCCATTTCTTCCTAAAAGAGGCTAAGTTATTATTATCAAACGCAATCTGTTTCTCAATTTCCATGGAGCGTATGACTAACTGAGTGTTCACTTGTACCATAGGAATAGTATTTCGTAGTTTGCAACTATAGTATATAATGTCTAATGAGGAGGAAGTGGTGTAGGAGATTGGATATGTTGTCAATAAAACCGAGACAAAGAGCTGGCGAAAAGGGGGTAATGTTCAATTTGGTCAAGTCAATCTCTTCGAAGGTCCACTGCGAAACATTATTCCAGAAAGTCTGAGTTGATCTACAGTGCCAAAAAAGATGCGTAAGTGTCTCTGGGGAACCAGCGCAAAAAGAACAGGGGTCTGTTTCCTTTTTCCTATCTTAAGAAGGAAGTCGTTTGTAGCTGCTCTTCTATGCAGAAATTTGAATTGAAATACCCTTAACTTCGTTTCCGTAGTACATAAACAAGGTAGCTGATAGGTATTTTCCCAGTTCACTTGTACATTTGAAAAAAGATCTTCAGCAAGCCACTTTCCCTGGCTTTTGACGCGCCGGTAAATTTACTTTGTGACTACACAACTCTGTAGATTTACTCTGTGGCACTACAGCCGCCTAGTTACAAAACTCAGTAGATTTACTTTGTGGCAAAACAGACGCTGAGCTTCGCAACTCGCCGGTAAATTTACTTTGTGGCACAACAGACGCCGAGCTAAACAACCCGGTTTGATACATGCACCAGGAGTAGCACGCATTTTCCAAAGAAAAATATGAAGGCTTAATCCAAAGTAAAATTTTACTTAGGGTGTAAACTTTCAGCACACTTTTGAAAGATGAGCGCTTTGGAAGATTCATTAAACACATATCGATAGTAGACCTTCAGCAAACTCTTAAATATGTACGCTTTACGAAGATTCAACCATTTTTAAAAGGTGAACGATTTAGGAAGACCTCAGCAAACGTTTGAAAGATGAACGCCGAGGACACATGAATCACCACGTGAGTTAGCGCGTCAAAGTGAGGCAAAACGTAAGCAAGTGCCTCAAAGCGAGGCACATGTGTGTCGACGACAACGGCGAATGCAATCTCGAAAAAACCTCTCTTATTTATTGCACAGGATATAATGCACAGAACACCCAACACAAATTAGGGGTTGCGTTCGAGGTACGAGAACGCAAAAATGACTAAGATAGTACGCGCGTTCTGTTTGGTCAAAAACCTATGGTTTATTGTGCCGATAAACTCATAGTTTTACTTAAAGTTATTTTATAAAAGCAATAGACCACACTTTCTATGGGTTTACGCGAAAAACTTGTAAATCACTCGCCTTCGGCTGGTGTTTTAGAAGCTTTTCTCGTGTTCTCCCAACATCCTGCGTGGGTTATCACATCGGTAAACCCATGGAAAGTGTGGTCTATTGCTTAACTAACCGAGAGTAAGTTCATTACAGGGAAATCTCAGACCGAGGCCTCGCTCGGTCGATACATCAAGACCGAGGTCTGAGATTTCCCTGTAATGACATAACGAACGAGGTTAATAGGTTAGTTACTTTATGGCCTTTCATCATAGACCTGAGCCTGAGATCAATTAAAACCAGTAACTTGGTCAGCGGATAACTGAAAACACACACCACATCAATGAGATTCTCAAGATTTTTTGGAAACGGGCCAATGACAGTCATGAATTGAAGCGCTGTTTCCTGAGAGGTCACGTAAGTTAAAACGCATTGGTTGCAACGGTTACAGAGTTGAGTCTTGTATTTTATTGGACCGTTTGCAAAAAACTTGAGAATATTTTGTTTTCGAAAAACGTTGTGATTCATAATCTTCTTCCAGGTGCACCGCGGGTTCGAGTAGTCGCACTTTAAATGCCCCAAATGATTGTAGGCTACAAGAAACTGCATTCGCAAAGTATCCAAAACTGATCAATCTCGTCGAGTGTATTTAGGTTGGCAAGAGCATTTTGCAGTTCCGTGTGCAGATTCTTGTTTATTTAAACAAGTACCAACATGGGCAAACATTTATGTAACTGAAGCATATAGGGTAAATCTATTTTACAGCAGCTATTAGTAATTACTGGTGTTGAACTTATATATTTACCTAACCGTTAAGTCCGGAAAACTAAATCATATACGAAAGCGCCAGTGTTGTCCTTTTCACACGTCAGCTTTCTGAGCTAAAAGCAGTTATATTTTGTCTCCGCGATTAGTTAATAGTTCTCATTTATGTTGTGCATAGCACTTCAGTTTCCCAAGAGTATGATAACCGATAGCGTAACTGGCTCCTGCATCCCCAAACCTGAGTTGTTTAACTGGAAGCTTTGTCTTGTCAGTCAGGGGACCGCTGTCTTCACGGCATACACCGTCATTTTTATCACAGTTACATCCAAAACTGGGGCTTGCACATGAGTTGGTCATCCCGCATGCGCACTTACCACTGCCAGGTGATGCCCCGCCCCAGTAAGTCATCTTAGTAGAATCATGTGACACCCACCATCCCATTCCACTCCTCAGTAACCTGGAATCAAAGCACTCGTACTTGATAAACTGTTCACAGTGTGAGGAGACTCTGGTCAGACTTGCTAGTTGAGACAGACTCGCTCCAGTGTAATGTGTGTCACGTGAGTAGCTACCTTGAGCTCCCCAACCGAGGCCGTCACGCACCTTTCTTCTACTCTCACTGTCGTGACTGATGACTGTCAAACCAGCACCATTCTTGTCAGCCATATCACAAAATACAGTAAATGGTGCCAGGCCTCCCTCGCCGTCTGGATCAATGACATAATTCCTGCTTACACTGCTGACGTATCTTCTTATTACAGAACAGGAAAAAGCAACTGAGGATTTGATTTTTACGGTAGCTTCTATTGTTGAAAGAGCATTTGTCGCCTTACAGGTGTAGGATCCTTGGTGAGATTTTTTGATATTAATAAGGACAAGAGTACCATTCCTAAGGACACTTGAAGCTACCGAAAGTGAGGAAAATCCGTCTTTTGTCCAAGTAATTGATATTCTTAGTTCACTTTCGGCCACGAACGGTAAACGGAGAGTGGAACCAATAACATTAGTAACCACTCGGGGAGGGAGAACTTTAAATCGCAGGGAAGAGAATACCATAAATAGGACCATGTCTGACACTGATCCCAGAATGTTCTCTGCCTTACAAATGTACGTTCCCCTGTCTTTCTTTGTTACATTCTAGATTGTCAGTGCTACGTTCATCTTCTCCTTTCTTCTAGGCACCAAACTCCATCGGACTTGGACCATGTGATATCGGGTTGCGGCTGACCAGTAGTAGTGCAGGCGATAGAGACGTTTTGCTTTTCCTCACCCAACTTTGTTTTAGAAGACAATAAGATCTGAGGAGCAACTATCGAAAAGATGATAATATATAACATTACGTGAATGACAATATTATAAGCAAATCAGGACATTCTAAAGCGCAGAGACTTTTTTTGCAGGTTTGTATGGCCAGCTAAACTATTCATGTTTTAAAATTTTAGTGTATGTGGGTCAGAACTGTATACAACCAATAACATTCAAAATAGAATTCTACAGACGTTGAGCATAATAACGACTGAATGGACTGTGAGTTTATTGGTGGATAATTAGTCGAGTCTAATGAGCAAGGGTGACTAATGAGCAAGACTGAGAAAAACCCCCAAAAATTCTTTCTCTTTTACTGCGAGTCCCTTTGCTCCCCTGATTGTTCCAGCACCTGTTGCGATGGCAAAAGTTCTTAGTTCTTAGTCTTCATAGGACTTTAAATAAGACTGCTGCAACCTTAGAATGTAAGAATAAATAACAAGTCAACCTACACTGAACTCTAAATTTCACAGAGGCATTGACGCTTCCCAACAAGTTTTCAGCTCTGCAGCTGTAAACACCCTCGTCTCCAAGTCTAACGTTCTTGACAATGAGAGCACCACTGGACTCTACCACGTGACGTCCCATTGGAAGCGAAGAATTCATTTTAGACCATGTGACTAGTGGTGTTGGATTACCGTCGGCTGTACATTTTAAGATGGCTGTCTGACTTTTATTGACTGTGGTTTCAACAGGACGCTGCTGCAGAGATGGAGAAAGAAATGTCCTCTGCAAAACGTTTAACTTGTCTCTACGTGCTGTGGGTCTCGAGCAAAAACAGGAAGTAAGTATCAAATTTTCTGAGGTCAAATGTGTTTCAAATTGCAAAAAACTAGAATATTTGGTTCATCATATCGCCTGTCAGGAGAAATAATCGATTATGGTTGACCGAGCTAATAACTCCTAATACCAGTGACAGAAAGTGTGGGCCCGAAGAGGGGAATCCCATATAAAAGTGACGGGGATGCTCGTCGTCTCGCTTGGGGGTGTAAATTGCAGATTTTGTGTCTGGGATGGAAAGTCACTATATTTGCCCATTCAGATATCGCTTAGGACTGTGCATAAGGAAATTTACAAAAAGTGCACTAACACTGACCACACAAAAGTCTCCTATTCAGAGGCCAGTCTAGTTTAAGCCTCGAGCCGCACCCACATTGGTCTCCTTTAAGGGTTTAATTTGAACTTTTCGATGAGCATCCCTGCCACTTTTATATGGGAGTTCCCCCCTCTCCGGGCGTGTGGGTTAGAGAAAGAAGGGGATATACAGCAGATCAATGAAGGGAACATGAAAATAGTTTCAATTGATCTTGAGTCACAGCTAACTGATTTTGGATAAACTACACTTCACAGGGGTTGTAATGCATATACCTAATGTATGTCTATGACGTCTATGGGCTATGGGTGGTACGGTAACGAACTTCCTGTTTTTAATTTGTTTTGTTTGAATGGGCGTTACTCTTTGGAGGTTTTAAAAGTTGTACCAAGAGAGATGGGTTGTATTCCTGAATAGATCTGAACGCTTACTAACTTATAGAGATTTCATAAGCATAAACAGGAAATAAGCATAAATTAATAAGTCAAATAAACTGAATCTGGGTTAAGGGGGTTTTAGGGGGTTTTAAGTCAAGCTACCCTATAGACGCGGTTAGTGTTGGTGGAAAGGCTTTTAATAGGATTGACCCTCTTGTCTCATTATCGTCTCTTGTCCTCATCAAATGTTTTATATGAATGAATTTCTATTTGTCGCATAAACTATTAACGTTTTTAAACGAGTTTTCTATGCCAACGAATTGCTTCATTTTTGCCGTAAGGTACAGCCACAAAAGCCAGTAACTGAACTACTTATAAGCTGGAGCCATTCGGTAACCTTTTAGGTGATGTAACTGGAGATCTACCTTTAGTAAGAATATAGTAAAGCCCCGCGACTAAGAACCTGGATTTTCCAAGTTTGCCTAAGCAGGTTCTTATATAAATGGTAGTTAACACAAGTCTAGGATATTTAGGTTCTTAAATACAGTAGCTTTTTATTTTCTGAAAAGGAAAAAAATACAAAATAGCTAAGAGTATTAAGTGGTTTAGCTCAATTCTCATCTCGTACCCAGATCTCGCTCTGTTTTGCACTTTCCCTTGGCCGTGGGAGATCTGGGTACGAGATCAGCTCAATTCCTCAAATAAAATCTGCATACCAAATAAGCAGTTATGTACAAATGAACATAAGTAGAACTGTATTGAATTTGTAATTGTTTAAATACCAATTTTATTTGATTTACACATTAGCATTTACATTGCAGTTGGAGTGATAAGGCAGCTATGAGAATTCTGAACGTTGGCTCATCTTATTTGCCCAACTGTCCATAATTTTTTCATTTATTTAGGAAAATAAGAAACTCTGTGTCAGATTTTAGGCTAAACAGATTTTTATATAGAGGGGGCTTAACTGGCAAATTTTAGCTTAACAGGTTCTTAAAATTCAGATCCTTAGTCGCGGGTTTTTGCTTTATTAACTCAGTTAACTTGTCTCTGCCTGTTCTGAGCTAGTCAGGAATCACGACAGGAAGTGAATATTATTCGAATATTTGTTCATTACACTGTCTCTCAGGAGAGAGCTCTTGAACTCAGTCGTTTTTTTTATTATCATTATTTCCACAGGTTGTGAGTTGTGCGATTTGAGATCTTAATGTAGTCTCGACTGTACATGCAATCTGTTTGTGCTCTCCATGTCAGTCAACTGACTGCACTAAGAAATAAGTGGGCGGATAAAACAAGAGACAGTTGAATAAGTTTTAATTTAAAAAACAACTTCAAGGTATCTTTCGTTGGAAAGTTTGTAAGTACAAGTAAGTTTTCCCACCACCAGACGTCAAAATTATTTTCCCCTCGGGTAATTCATGGCAATCAAAGTCCAAGACATACCCCACCCGGCCATAAGTTGCAGCTTTTGGTCGGGGTTCCTAGTCCAGTTTAACCCCTGCTATTAAATATATGCTTATTTATGCTTAACGATGAAGTCTAAAAATCGTTTTTGTTACTAATTCTTTTCTGATACTAAGGACTTGCTTATCGTGCCTCATTTTTATTTTTTATTACTTTATTTCATCCCTCTAGGATCTAGAAGGCAACAACAAAAACAACTTTCTCCCTTTTTAAGTTTACCCAGAAAAGTCCTAAAATAATCTGACTTATTACCATGACATTCTAAGAGATGTAACAGAAGCCTTGTGCAGGAGATCTATTAAACAAAGAGTGAATTATACGTGATGATTAGAGCACCCCAAAGAAAGGATGTTGTTTGAAGTGAAGCACCATTAAACTTTGTTCTAGTAGTTGTAACGACAGGGAGAGTAGATGCAAGGGAATTGCCTTCCTTACACGGACCAGCTAAGCAAGAATGTTTACAAATTTTGGCATAGCATTGGTATTGACATTTTCCTTTAAAGCAGAACTGATCACATTGGTAACTCTCTCAGAGCAGGTCATGATACAGTTGTCTCGGATCTTAATGCCATGTTTCCATCGTAAGCTTGCTGGGTACAAGTTGATACTCCACGAGGGCACATCATGTCACAGTCCCCATTGTAACAAGTTTGCTGACACTCGACTCCATCACATTTCATTGTTATCCTTCCAAGAGGAGGTACATGCCCTAGTTAAGGACACCTTTCAGATTCACGCGGGCAAGACATAGCACACTTTGTATCTTGGCAAACCTGGATAAATTGTTTTGCATTGCAGGTCATAGATTCACACGTGCCAAAATTGCATATCTGTCGGCAGAGTCCTGGTATTGCACTTGATGAACAGTTCATGCTGCATTACCCAAACGAACATTGCTGCTCGCATACGTTTCTGTCACATTTCATATCTGCGCTACTTTCCCTTGCCTCTTGTGTACAGTTGGCTTCACCTAAAGGGTACGTTAGTCTACACTCCTCCCTGAAACAAGACTGCGGACAAGCATTTGCTTCACAAGTCAGTCCACACCCTACGTTTTGCCTGCAACTGGATGCTGTCTTATCACATGAAAGACTACTACAGTTCCCCATGTAACACGTCTGATAGCAGACCATCGCAGCTTAAGGACCCACAGTTGCTCAGTGAGCATAACTGTAAGCAGTATTCCGAAGCGCGACATTCAAAAGCATCACACCTGCTTGGAAGAGAAATCTGACCACATGTGTCATATTGGGCATGGGTCTTCAGTCCACATTGCATTGTGCAAGGCGTTTCTGCACATGATACCTGGTTACACGAGTTATTGTTTGGTTTTGTATCACAGTCAATTATTTGCTTGCAGGATCCACTTGAGGCCACCAAGAGCAATATCATTCTTCCAAGTCAGAGCATGCATGTAAGAACCTATAGCGGAGTAAAACGGTTATAAAGGTATCGATTAAGTTACAACGAAGTCGTGCACAACGAAGTCGAGCACAGCTAATGTGTATTACAATAAATGAGTAAATGTTATGTGAAAACACCACAGCATCGGAGGGAGAGTGATGAAGGCGGGCATTACAGGCAAAAGTTTTGTCAAGGTTAACAAGGATATCTTACGAAAAGTTAAGGTGCAAGACCTCTGCAAAAAACCGTATATGATCAGTCTTGCTCAATGTTGGATCAAAAAAGATCGCGATCAGTCAAAATCAATAACAACTATTAAAATTATTGTCAAAAAAACAAATGCA